TCCCGACGACGCCCTGCACCCCAGTCCACTGCCTCAATACATTCACTCTTAAGTAACCACCACATCTTATTTATATAGCTATCATATACATATATGATATATGTTTACTTCATAACACAGCTCAGCAGGCATGGTTTTTATCTCGGTTAATAGGCAACTTGTTTGGAGGAAGACACAGACTCCCTCTTCTGCCTGCCCTCATATCCCCATGTCACTTCATGGTCATGGAAAGTGGTTATTAAATAGTCACCACAAGAAATTAATGACATGTTTCTATGACCATCTCTAAGTAGTGGAAAACAAATGCTTTTATATTTGAAACATCCATCACTCATTCTGTGTACACACTTCTGGACCCTTTATAGGACTAAGTCAAGAGACTTTCAATTAATGGTATTGCCTTTCACTTATTTGAGAAGAATTGAGTGGGGAGCATGTAAAACAAATCCCAGAATCATAAATAATTAGAATAGCCAACAAATAGAAATCCTTCAGAACTTAGCATGATTCTGTGGGAGATGTACACTGGGTAGGTGAAAGGTTTTACTAACATTTTTGTCAAGTAGATTGCTCTCCTCTGTGTAGGTCTGTGTTCATTTTGTTATTTATTCCTATTTTCTGACACTTTTCATGAACAAGAATTTTTCAGAATTCAAGGTTGAGCAAGGCAAAGAGTCTGATATAGATTTAATGGTGGAAATAACTAAAAAATGTTTTTAATGTAACAAGGCTAAAATTCCCAAAAGTAAAAGCACAATAAAGATGCAATGGGTGATCTTACCTTCAGACCTCATTGTTCTCTCACTGACACCCTCTCTAAGCCTGTGCATTACTGTAAAGCAAATGGAGGAACAGGGGAAAAATCAGTTCTTAATCCACAAGTGCTTCTTTTCTGAGTTGCATTGAAACTCTCACGTAATGATTTAACTTCTTATTCAGTCTAGACTGCGCTTTAAAGTAATGCAAGGCACTTTTTGTTTCTCTCTCTCTCTCTCATGTGTGTGTGAGAGAGAAATCCATGTGCGTATGCCATAGCTGTGAATGTGTATGAGCAAGTTTCAGTATCAGTCCTTGTCTTCCGCCTTCTTTATGGTAGGTGTTCATGCTCTTTGTCTCTGAGTATTTGTCAGTGTAGTTAGCCACAAGCTGAAGTGATTCTCTTATTTGGGAGAGCCTGGTTCGGGAGGGCTGGTATTATAGACAACTGCCACCAGACCCAGCTTTACATTGGCCCCAAAGATCTGAATTCAGGTCCCTAAGTCTGCACAGCAAATGTTCTTCACTTTCTTTTATAGTACTAGGGAAGAAACTAGAGTACTAGGGCCTCCCAGAGCTAGGCAACTGTTTTGCTACTAATGAACATTTTGAGGCCTCAGGCAGATTTTTAAAGGTAAGGATTCTAAACAAGGTAAGCAAATATAACTAAGGAACAGGCATATGTGAAGCATAAAATTTAATCAGAGGTTCTATTTTTTCACAAAAATAAACTCTATAGTTATTTTCCTTTGTAAAGCAACATACAATATCTTAAGCATCAGCTGACTGTGGGACCATCAGTTACCTGTGTTTTTGTTTTTATTGTTGCATTAAGTTATCTGTTCTCAAAAGGTGAGTCCAGATCCCTTTGAACGACACTTTCACAAGGATCACAAATCAGACATCCGGCATATCAGATATTCACAGTACGATTCATAAGGTAGCAAATTTTACAGTTATGAAGTAGCAACAAGAATAATTTTATGGTTGGGGTCATTGGAACATGAGGATGTGTATTAAATGGTCGCAGCATTAGCAAGGCTGAGAACCACTGCAAATTAATGAAGCTATTACCATGAGTTTATTCTAGGAAAAGCAAAACAACCAACCAAACATTTTCTCCTTAGGTATTATGAAGTCGGTGTTCTCTCTTCCATTTTCTGAGTATTTAGGCTATACAATGAGAATTGATTTTTCTGGGTGATAGCCCCAAGACTCTGTAGGAGTCTCACTTATCAAAGAAAGATTCAATTATGTTCTTACGCTACACTTGCAAAGAAATAAAATTCAGGGAACATTTAAACTGTTCCTGGAGAAAAAGCTGCAATAACCTCAAGTGACCTTTATGAGCATGCCTGGTTCGTTCACAGTTAGCTCACAAACCCAATCAGTCCACAGTCTGCGTACAGTGGGGTTCACAGAACATTTGATGTTTGGCAGTGTTTATAATCTCCAGAAGCACTGATTATCATGTAATCAGATGATGTTTTTAATTAAAAATTTGAGTTAAGAAAATTATACATATGGTACTTAAAATACCAATACCGCCGAGTTAGTTCAGTGAATTAAGCAATATACAAAACAAGAATACCAAGCAGCCTGGGGAGAAAGGGTTTATGTTTGGCGATTACAGCTGTTTTGTGAAAAAGGTTGAAGAGCAGGGTGGGTGGTAGAACCAGATAATTTTCTTCAAGCCTGCCTTGCTGTGACTAGGGGGCAATAAGAATTAATTGGCCAGACATTGAGGCTCTTGGCTTCCTTATGGGTCAAAGGTAAAACAGTAAAGCCTACTTCAATGCAAACATGCCACAAAAACTAAATAATTACACCAAGGTAAGAAAACAGCTCACATAAAACAGATTTCTCTTTGGTATCTAGGCAATATTAACACTTACATAGATACCTTTGTTTCTTTTCATGTGAACCTTCAACTTCACCAAAACCAAAAGAAAAGGAAAGGAAAGGAAAAAAAAACAAAAAAACAAAAAACAAAACAAAACAAAACAAAAAAACAAAAACAGTAACACAAAATACCCTTTATCCCACAAAAATAATTTCAGCTGCTACTAAAAAATAAAAACAAAAGAGCAAATAATCCTAGTAGTATTTCCATAATTTAGTAGAGTTTAATAGACCGTGAAGAAATCAAATGACCTGAGGAAGTGGCTCTGTGGGTAATGCATTCCAAACACTCCTGGATGAGGCCAGGAGTTCAGATCCTCATCCCCCTAAAAAAGGACAAGCAGGCTTGGTTGTCAGTCTGGGATCCCTGCTCCCAGACGTGAAGCCAAGGAATTCCAGGGCAAGTAGACCAGCTGAGTCTGCAAGCTTAGCTCCCAGTGATAGATCATGCGTCAGTATTATGAGACGAGTCACCAAGCAAGAGTCCCAGCTGCAAGCTGTGGCCAGTGTGTTCCTGTGCACTCATGCATATATGAACACACATGCACACACATACACACACAATGACAGAAAAATGGCTGGTCCAAACATTTGTTCAAATCTCGGTAAGTAATTAAAATTGCTCTAAATAATACTTTTTTTTTTTTTTTTACCGGAAAATTCTGTTATGTTTTTCTCCTAAATTTTTGTGTATCTGTCCATATTAAAAAGATCTGTAAATGAGAACAACCTCCATTTTCTCCTGACTTGTTTTTCCAGCCTCTGGTACCTACACAGTCAACCCCTCATCTTGCTAAGCCTATTTCTTTCAGGAAGATTTTCCTACCCAAAAGATCTCACCATTTTCCATGTTTGTTCTCCTGATAGTGATTTCCTTCAAGCTGTTTAGAATTCTACCATGGTTCCTTCTCCATATCCATCCTCTGCAATTTGTATGTATGTATGTATGTATGTATCCTCTTTTAGGCCGTGAGTTTCTATAAGAACACAGCATGTATTTCACAGTCTTATGACTGTACCGCAAGAACTCAGCTAATGTTTCCTATTGTGCAATCAGTCACCATTCGTAATATAAGAAAACAGGGTATGCCTACATTAAAATAGTTAGAGCAAAACTGATACATAGTCTTTCATCTGAGGCAAACACAAGAGAAACAGGAATAAAAGAACATTCTTTAGGCGGATGCAATAGCCTCAGTATGGTAGGGCACAGCTAAAATTCGTAAATATGGATGAGGTCCAAGTAAAGTACTGTGACTACTTTTGGATTCATAATTAGACACCTGTGATGGAGGAAACAAGGGACCTGTGACCCCTTGATAGCACAGAACACTTTGTGATGCCTAGGGAAAATGAGGAAAGAGTTCTATCCAAAAGCCCTTGTCTTTAGCTTCTCTACTTTGAGGTAGATGCATGTTTGGGTGGTGGGGTAACTGTGCTCCAGGGTCAGAAAAAGACATAGTTAGCTTCTGGGTTGCTATGTACTTTACTCATCTGCTCAAGGCAATGGCCTATTTTTACCCACTCTCTCACTTTAGAGACTGCTTTCCATGTAAACTTTGTCTTTAATGTAACCCATATCAAATGGCATCCATCTAACCAAGAGTACCTACCTCTCCTCATTTCATAGTCCCTCTCAGCTTTCTGAGTAGCTACCTCATATCCTTCATATACTGCAAAAAGCCCTTCTATATGTCCATTAAATTAACTTATCAGCAATCACAATGTCTTGAATCTTTTTTATTCCTTTCCATTTTCTTTTTACCCCAAATTCCCGTTCTTACTCCTTTCTCCTCTGCCTCTCATTTTGTCTAAAATGACTAACCTCTTCTCACACAGAAAAATTTACTCACCCACCTGAATGGCAGGTACCTATGTCCTACTAAGAATGCAGCAAGGCCCTTGAAATATCAAAGTCACACCTTTACTTTTCAGAGATATGGAAAAATATGTGGAGTACAGATATACAATGAACAGATTGAATATTAACATGTTTAAGAACATTGAGGTGTTCTACATAGCCAGTACTAAGTAGGTTTTGAAGGGCCAGCCTTGGAACCCACTGGCTTTGAGTACTATTTCTATGGAAACAGAAATTCTAAGTTCCAAACAGCACATACACACATGGGCTTGTTGCCTTAAGGCTCCATGGGGCCATTAGCTGGCTCAGGGGCTGGGAGGCAGCCCCTCTTCTGGCCACTGGCTTTGCCTTTCTGAGACTTGAATGAGTTTCACACCAAGCTGTGAAAGGCAGGCCAAACACTGACCAGAAGGAACCAAGACCAGTCACTCTGTGAACCACCAGATGTTTTCTGCCAGCTAGGCCTTTATAAGCTTAAACCATGCAGATCACTGTGTATTGTGTGCGTAGGGACCTCACAGAGGTAACCTTTTCCCTCCAGGTCAGCCCTGACTTTGAGCTCTGCAACTTCAGAGTCCTCTGTGAGCTTGAGGCAGGCGTGCCTGCTGAAGAGATCCAGATCATCTACATGGAGCAGCTCCTTACAGATGACCACTGTTCTCTGGGAACCTATGGCCTCAAAGATGGTGATATGGTTGTACTGCTTCAGAAGGATAACATGGGACCTCGGGCTCAAGGAAGGACCCCAAGCCATCCTCGAGCAGACCACACCGGGCCGGCCATGCCTGGCACATCAAGTTCCCGACACCCGCCTCAGCATCAACACTATCACCACCCCCAGCAACGTAGACCATCAACACAAACCCATGGATTGGCTTCTGGAGAAAACATAGCTTATGCTCAGGATATCAATAGCCCTGCCTTGATTCGCAGCATGCTGCTTTCCAATCCCCATGACCTGTCCCTATTGAAGGAACGGAATCCTGCTTTGGCTGAAGCCCTGCTTAGTGGAAACCTTGAGACATTTTCTCAGGTCCTGATGGAGCAGCAGAGGGAAAGGGCCTTGAGAGAGCAAGAGATGTTTCGTCTTTATTCTGCTGACCCATTCGATCAGGAAGCTCAGGCTAAAATAGAGGAAGAAATCCGACAGCAGAATATTGAAGAAAATATGAACATAGCTATGGAAGAGGCCCCAGAGAGTTTTGGACAAGTGGCTATGCTCTATATTAACTGCAAAGTGAATGGGCATCCTTTAAAGGCTTTTGTTGATTCAGGTGCTCAGATGACTATCATGAGCCAAGCTTGTGCTGTGAGATGTAATATCATGAGGCTGATGGACCAACGGTGGTCTGGGGTTGCTAAGGGAGTAGGCACACAGAGGATCATGGGCCGCGTTCATTTGGCTCAGATTCAGATTGAAGGTGATTTCTTACAGTGCTCTTTCTCTATACTTGAAGAGCAGCCCATGGATATCCTTCTAGGGCTTGATATGCTCAGGAGGCATCAGTGTTCCATTGACCTAAAGAAAAATGTACTGGTGATTGGCACTACTGGCACGCAAACACCCTTCCTTCCTGAAGGAGAGTTGCCTTTGTGTGCTAGGCTGGTGAATGGAACTGTGCAAGAAGAATCTCCAGACAAGGAAGTAGCAGGCAATATCAAACACCCAGTCAAGGGTCCAGGACGGAAAAAGCATTGAAGCAGGCCATGTATAAGCCATGCCACGAGGGAGCAAGCCTTAGGTCCCAGAAAATTATAAGACATGAACTCACTGACAATGTCACCAAATAAAAACATCTTAGCAACCAAGCATGGCCTTGTGACTGAGTTCACAGATGGGAGTTGACGATGTAAGTCATCAATGATTCATCAGAATATGTGTGTGGGTCCATTCCTTCACTCCTAGAGCGCTGACTCTCATCCGCAGGAAGGTCTGGAGCTTCAGGTTGTCTCCAAACCACCTAGCATAAGGAAAATTAGTCTCCCTTATCAGATTACAGGGTGTGTCAAGCCAAGGGCTACTTATTTTGCACCAGTCACTAGGAAAAACAAAAAAAACAAAAAACGCTCTTTAGGACTAAAAAAGATGTGTAAACAAAACCATTTTACATTAATAGCAATGGTTTTCTATTACGTCACCAACCCTATGTGTGTGTGTTTTGGGGAGCATATGTAGGGGGTGGTGTGGGGGGAGGTGTGGGGGGGGTGGGTGTGTGCCTCGAGAAGGCTGGATGTATTTTTTTTAATTACTTTCCACTTCAATTTTTGAGACAAGTTCTCTCAGAGTGAAAGGACCAGGCCTGACCCCTTCCTTCAAAAATCATCAGTCCCAGGAACTAGGCCATAGGTCAGCAATTCCAGGAGTAATAAAATAAAATAAAATTCCCCTAGTGGAGGAATAGTCTAAGGATAATGCAAGAATGGGAAGGTATCTTATCTAAGGGTGGAGCGTCTGTGCTGGGCAGCCCACTGACCTAATGTTCCTGAGGTCTGTAGATAGCTCGCTCAATGTTAGTTATGTTAGTTAGCCAATCCCAGCTAAGCTGGGAATTCTGTGTTCTTGCTCAAACCCCAAATAAAAACCCTGCCATGTAGTTGCTTGGGGCTCTCCTTTCTGATCCACTGCGTTGGTGACTGAGCTTAAGCCTGAATAAAGCTCTTTGCTCTTGCATACATGGTGGTCTCCTGGTGGTCTTTGGGGATGGTAAGATCTGGGCACAACAACAGAACCTGGAACCTTCCCAGTGTTGCTATAGTATAATCATCTATTAAATTAATCTATGTAAGCTATGGTTTTCACTTGAGTGCCAGAGTTGAAACCTAGGTCCTAATGTTCATGCAACAGGCGTTTTCCTAAGTAAGCCATATCGTTAGTCCCTCCTGGTTAAGTCTCCACACACCTTTTTGAGACAGAGCCTCATGACCCTCAACCTGGCTGCAGCCTTGAGATATGGCTAAAGATGACCTGTATTTCTGATTCTCCTGCTTCCACCTACTGAGTGCTGGTAGTACAAACGTGCCGTTATGCCAAGTTTTGGCTGTGCTGGCGAGCAGATGTAGGCCTTTGCTCATGCCAGACAAGCATTCTACCAACTGAGTTATAGCCTAGAACAAGTGATTTTCATTCCCATAGATATGTCTGTTTTCGCTAGGAGTGATATGACGCCTGCTCCAGATTCTTCTCTCTTCTTGAGCTGACTGCTACTTCTAAACGCCTGCTTTTAACATGCTTGCCAGTTTTATGTTGCCTTACAATTCCTCCATCCCCAGATTCCCCTAGGGCCACACTTAGAATGTTTACCTCCAGACCTAAATTTTGACACATTTCAATGAAAAGGTTTTATATCCCAAGCATATTCTTCTCCTTGTCCTTAAAGAAAATACAGTTGTAAGACAAAAACTGAGTTAGACATTTTAATCTTAATTCTGGAAGCTCTCGGTTTGTTTTGTGGTGGGCCTGGAAGGTGAGCTTAAACCATTGTCTAGGACTCTGACATCTCATTCAAGATTTCAGGACACACCTGCTAGAATGTGTTTTACTTTTGAGGCAGAGGGAGAAATTGTCTTATTGTTTCCTAAATTCTTTGCAGGATCGGAGTGTCTGCCTTTATCTACAGAGTAACACAGAACCAACACTTGACTATCAGGCTGGCTGGCCAGATTACGTCAGGTGTATCTTTGTGCACTGTCCGTTTGAAATGGGGAAGGACTACTTGGGCAGGTGCCGATCCAAGGGCTGTGGTGAAAAGGAGAGCTTGGATTCTGAAGTGGAAAAAAACCTGAGAGTTTGTACAGAAGTCCTGTCTTCCCAGAGAAGACAGGCTCTCTTGGGTTCATTATAATGTGTCTGCTGCACCAATAAAGCTCTTGGCTTATTTATTAGTCTATTCATTGCCATGTGTTCTCTGTTTAGTAAGTGGTAAAGAAAGGGATGGTAATGAGTTTGGTTTGGAAACCCGATGTGGAAGGGGTAAAGCTGTCCCTGTCCTGCCCTCCCTGGGGTAGGGAGAGAGCAAGCATGGTGGTGTCACAGTTATGCTACCCTTTAACCAGTGATGCTTGATGCAACTGAGAGGCATTTTGCTGAGTGTCTATTTTTCTTACTCCTTTGATTTGTACGTAATTTTGGAGCTTACTTAATGAAGTGCCAAACCTTTAAGGGGAAAAAAAGAAGATTTCAGTTAGTCCACCTTGGAAATATCTGCTTAGGCCTTTCAGCCCTTGAGTCATCTGAGAAAGCTTACTGCCAGTGTGACCAATGCTTGGAAATAGAAGAGTGTTGCTTTGGTTCTAGCCTAACCCATCTGAGAATAATACTTTGGCTTCCAGAGGCCATCGGGTGCAGTGTAAATAATTTATGGGCAATGCGTTATTAAGACTATTATTAGAGGGTTGTAGAGACAGCTCTGTGGTAAGAGCACTCTTTCCTCTTCCAGATGACCCATGTCAGTTCCCACAACCTATGTAGGATGGTTCAAAACCAACTGTAAATATAGCTCCAAGGGATCCAATACCATCTTCTATAGTCTGCGAATATCCACTCACATACACATATATTCACACAGACACACATATACATACACCATAGTTTTTAAACTAGAAACATTGATGTTATATCAATCCAGTATAAGTCAAGAAGCACCTGCCCTGAGCATACCTCACTGTCACTTAATCTCCTTTAGGGCTCCAGTCATCACCCTTGAATTGCTTTAAGGGTTAGGGCTGCTTTATAGCTGCCAGGGCCACAATGTGATCTTGCTCTCCAAAGAGAGCTAAGTGATCTGAAGAGTTCCTAAAAGTTATAAGAAAAAATGATCCTCTAACAATTGCATTTTACTGTTGTTCTTTGGCTTGATTCTTGGTGACACTCCTATATAATCTCCTAGACACAAGCATACCTCCAGAGTTTCCATGCCCATTTTTCTAACATTACCTACATTTGTGTCTGGTTTCACACTCAGAAGAACTGAAAACAGATCCACGGGCAGATGTCTTTTTTTTATCTTTGTTCCTAATAAACACACAAGAGAAATTACAATTATAAATAGAAGAGAGCCAGGACCAGCTGAGAGGATGACATAAACTTCATTTTGTCTCCATTTTTAGGACCAGGCCTGACTTTAAAAGAAAATTATCAGTTCCAAGAACTAGGCCAGAGGTCACCAATTCCAGGAACAAGACATAAAATCCCCTACCAAAGGAACAGCCTGGAGATAACCGCAAAAATTGGAAAATGTCTTGTCTCAGGATGGGGCTTATGTGTTGGGCAGCCTTATCTCCTCCTATAGTTAAACATTCATGACACAGGAATGCAGCCCACAGACCACCTGGATGCAAGCCATTCAGAAATCTATACTTGTGACTTCTCTGGCACTCACCAATGAGGTTTTAGATTACCTAACTCTTACTACCATTCCCCGGTTTTCTATAAAAAGGCCTGCGAGCCTTTGGCTTGAACCCTGCATGCAGATTTTCTTGAAATAAAACATTCCTGCCAATTGCATATGTGAGTGGTGGTCCCTGTGAAGTGATTTTGAACTTAACACCAGCGAGATAGCTCAGTGTTAAAGGTGCTTGCCACCAAGTCTAACTTCATGATGCCCTTGGGAGTCACATGGTAGACAGAGACAACTCATGCCTGCAGTTTGTCCTCTGAATTCCTCATATGAGTTGTGGTATTAACGATCCCTACCAGGAGATATTTTTAAATGTAAAAACATAAATAATAAAGATAAAAGTTATAAGCAGTAAACCTATGAAAAGCATGGAGTCTATTGGTGATAACAATATGCAATATCCTTCTCATGTCTTTTCCAGACTTAATCAGAAGGTCATTTGTGACAAGCATACTACATTTAAAATGTCACATGGGATCAATTCCAATATCAAATGACTTATCTAGTCTGTAAAAGTCATTCTAAACATTCACAGAATCTTTAAGGAAAATGGCGGCTTACATTCCAAGTGGATTACACCTACTCTGTCTTCTCAAGATGCATCCTTCTGGGGCAGTTAATTTATTCTAGGACAACTCTCACGTGTAGTTCTTTCCTGTGATGATCCAAAATTTTTGCTGTACAATGTTCAATAAATTGATCTCCATGTTTCTTCTGTCAAGAACAGATTTAAGCTTTCTGGCATGAGGCAATCTTTATTATATATGAAACCAGTGTTTCTCTAAATAATATTCTTTACCAGCTTTCAACAGATTCTTAATGTGCTCCTCAGAGGGCAAGTTGGCACTCTTCAAAATATCTTCATGCCTCTTTGGATATGTTCTAACTTTTAAAAATACAATTTGAGTGAATGGGTAAATTAAAACAGTTTTGTTGAATTGATAGAATGATCTAAGAGAGAAGTCCATAAAGAAAACTAAATAATTGGTAATTTTCTTTATTTTTTTTTAATGTTGCCTTAGAAATCCAAAAGTATTTGAAAACTTGGTCCTGTAAAATCTTTATGTAACCTTTCATAACATATGAAAGTGGCCCAATTAATTACACATGAATACACACACTTATGGAAAACACAAGATCCTTTGCTTGTTTTCTTAGATTGGGCAGTACAGGGAGCATTTTGCATAATATTTAACCAATAATCTTCAGGCTAAAACATCAAAGTAACTAGCAGAAATCATACTTTGTGAACAGCAAATTTCAAACTCAAAATTATTCAAAGCATTCATATATACAAAGACAG